AAGGTGACATTTCTGCCTAAATAATTCCAAGGTATTCTGAAAAGCTAACGTGTATATACATGTTTACACACACATGCACACATGCACACACGCACGCGCACACACACACACACACACATACAGTTGTTGCTGTAACATAGTAGTAGGCTGTTAATATGTAGTTTCTGGCTGGGAATGCAGCTGTCACAGCTTTTGCCTAGCAAGCATGAGGCTCTAGTTGAATCCTTAATACAGTACACACGCACACACACACACAGAGTTTCTTTCCTTCTATTTTTGCATATCCATTTGCTCACTAGTTCATTTCCAGAATTCTCACTTCTCCATTTGTCATTATTCCCTAAACAATCCAACAGCTACTGATATCATTTATTGTAAACAATTTAGGGTTGATTTAAAGTGTAGGAAAGGATGTACAGGTGGTATATACAAATACTCTGTTGGGAATTAGTTCTAGTGCTCTGTCTTGATTCAGCCCCCAATCTAGAATCTACACATCCAGATGCTGAAGGTCCCTGTCCCAAAATGGTTTTTGATTGATCAATAAAGAGCAAAGGGCCACTGGTCAGGCAGAAAGAAGCGGGACTCCTAGGTTCCTGGGAGAAAAAAACACAGGGAGGAAAAAGAGAGCATTTCCACCAGAAAAGGGGGTAGGATGGACCACACCAGGAAGGAACAGGAGGGCATAGTGGCCAAAATGTAAGTACGAAAAGGAAAGTGGCCCCAGAAGGGCTGCCCAAGAGCGTCTTGGGCAGCAAAGATAAGGTGGGCACCCAGGAGCCAAAGCAACAAGATAAAATACAGGTTTAAGAGGTGTTAAGTCAGGGATGCCAGAGGGGAGAATGTGCTCGCCTCGGGGTTAGAAGTATCCAACCACTGAGCTAGTCAAGGCATAACAAAATTAGCTGGTTTGTGTGTGCCTTTCATTGGAGAATCCAGAGAGCTCATAGCCAAAGCAGTTAACTAATTCACCACTACAATGCTCAACCATTTTATATAAAGGACTGTAGATTTTGGCATCCACGGGGCATCCACAAACCAATTCCCTGTAGACAGTGAGTGGCTTCAATTTTTCCTAAAGCTCCTGGTACTTGAGCATGGAAAGGGCCAACTTCTCTTCATTTAAGTCATCTATATATCAAAACCTTCTAGTGCAGTAGTTCTCAATTCTGCAATCCTTTAATTCAGTTTCTCATGTTCTGGTGACCCCCAACTACAAAATTATTTCATTGCTTCTCAACAACTGTAATTTTGCTACTGTTGTGAATCATAATGTAAGTATCTGATATACAGGATATCTGATGTGTGGCCCACAGAGGTCGAAACTCACAAGTTAAGAACCACTGCTCTAGTGGGTCCTACCGTCTAAGATAAATTTTAACTCTGAAACAGCATAATCCCCTCAAGGTTTCTGTATACCTGCTTTATCTGGTTTTGCCTCCCACCTCATTGCCCTCATTCACAGCCACAGACTTTCAAACGTCTGTGTTTGAGTCAAGGATGGTGCCAGCATGCCAGTACTCACAGCACTCATGGGATTCAGGTAAGGATGCTGAATTTGAGATCAGCCTAGTCTATATAGCAAGACTTGCCTTGGGACGAATGAGTGACTGCATATTCTCTGTGTTTCTTTTGCCTAAGATGCCTGGGAAACTCCTGAAGTAAAAGAAGGCTCAGGCCAGCATCACCCACCTGACACTGACCATACTTTCCTTGACAGCTATGTGTTCCCATACCTTTGTCATGGGCACTGATTGCACTTTCACTTTCAGGGTTTTAGAAAGGCGATCAAGTTTACTTCCACCTATACCTATTCTCTATGCTTGTACAGTGCTTGTGATGCACCAAAGAATCAGCCATGTGCTTCTTGATGAGCACTTAGCTCCTTCTTTGCCTAGGCATGGAAAATACAAGGTAAAAGAAAACTCACTCCTCTCTAGAGAGATTTATCAGCTTATCAGAACTGTGCTGTGGAGGGCAAAGGCAGCCCTGAGTGGATGAAGGTCTAAGTGAATGTGTGCTGTTGACACAAACTTGACTATGTCATGCACCCTTGCCTCAGATCCAGAGGGAAATAAGAGTCTTTCTCTGGAGCCCAAGCATACGTGTTGATAGTGTGTGCATAACTGTGCACCATACTTTTCTGCCTCTGGATATTTATGGCCTGAAAATTGGTCCCATGAAAATTAGCTAAACCTGGCTCCTTGACCCAGCTCTATCCCCATAAACCTTACCTCCTGTTCAGCTGTATGCAAAAACTCTGCCTCTCTGTTCAACTCTATATAATAAACACTTGTGGGTTGTTTTTCTTCCATCAGAGAACCAAGTGCCCTGGCCCCAGATTTTCTGTATGTTTGTCCTTTTTCATTCCATTCCACTCCAGATAGGTCCAGGTCCTGGGAATAGAGTTGGGTACACTTATCTATGAGCTGTCTGGAATTAAATATAAATGTATGGGAACATCTTGCTATAACCAGTAGGAACTGAGATGTGACGCATTTGATCAAGTATACCAGGCAGACTCATTCTGTTTCAGGAACTTGATTCACTCATGTGACAAGAAACTCACCACAGGGGATAAGGTTTCTGATCTTGACTCTATACTCATGCTAATACATTTAAAGAACTTGCTTATTCTGGGTGAGGCATATGTCAGCCCTCCAGTGTCAGCACTGAAAGACTTGTCAAATATGCTCCCAGCGGAGTACAAGTAAATCACATACCCAGCAGCTCTGCTGTCCACACATCCATCCACAGTGTTTAATCATAGCTTAAAAGATCAAGTGTCCCAAGGGAAAAACCTACAACACAGTAGTCATTTTGGGGGCTGGGAGAAGAGGGTTTCTCTGTGTAGTCTTAGCTGTCTGTAAACTTGCTCTATAGATCATACTGGGTCCATCTATCTCTGTGTCTGAAGTGTTGGGATTAAAGGTATGCATCACCATACACAGCTTAAGTCACAGATTTTAATACTGGCAATAACACACGTTCTCCATACATTATCATCTAAGGAAAGATTTTAACGAGAGAGGAAAAGGAAAGTGGTAAGAAAAAGACAGAGGGAAGGAGGGGGAAGATAAGGAGTGAGTGGGAGATAGTAGGGAAGGAGGGAGGGAGGGAAGAAGGAAGAGGAGAGAGAATAGAGGGAGGGAGGAAACTCCTGAACATGAGTGTCAGCAGCAGTGCCTGTCACAGATCTGTTCGTCCAACTCCATTCATCCACTACATGAACTTACTGAGACATTGTCCCATTAATTAATTGGCAAACAACTTGTTCAACCAACCTTCCTTATAAACTCTTTCCCCTCTTTGTGGTACTGTTTTTCTATGTATCTTCTATCTCAAATACTGCTTGGCTTGTGTGCTTAGGAACTAGGGACATGGTGCAGAATAAAAACAGAACTATCTGCCAGCTACATAGGTTAAAGCTCAGGTATCCACTCACATATCCACCAACACTGCCCCAAGTATGTCTTTTTCCCTGTATTCTAGCCAGCACCTGTCACTAGTCCTTTTGAATTTTATTGGAGGTGAAATAGCATACAATTGTCTCAACTTCTGATTAGTGTAGTAATGGCATTATAAATGAGCTACCACCCCCAGCTTTGTCATGCATGTATTTATATTGCTGGGCCCTTGCTGGGGTCTAGATGGAAGGTCATTACAAGTATGTCTTTGAAGTGTATGTCTTATCCCTGAACCCTTTTCTATTCCATCTTTCTGGTTACCAAACGATAAAACTTTCCTTGACTCTGCCTTTCTCCCATGACGTTTCAGCCTTGGTTCAGGTTGATAATCACTGGAGCCAGTGGAATAAAATCATGAAATAGAACTTCTGAAGCCATAGACCAAATTAATTTTTTCCTACATTCTCTCCTCTAAACTCTGGTATTTTGGCACAGCAATGAAAAGTTAATAAAGTAGGCAAGGGAGACTGGTAAGACGGAGGAAAGGCAGGAAAAGGAGTTATAGTGGTTGAAATGAACCATCTTCCATAGCCTAGGGCATTTGAACACATGGCCCCAAGAGATGCAGACTTTGGGAAATTTAGAAGGTACAGCCTTGAGGGAGGAAGTGTGTCACTGGACTTGGTCTTGAGAAACCCTGCTGTGATGGTTCAAGCCTTGAGTCTTCAGCTTCCTGCTCTAGCCAGCATGTCTGCTGCTTGCTAGTGGGGAGCCATGTCTCCCTGCTAAGATAGACTCTTATGCCCTTTCTCTTGTAAGCTGTATTGGTCATGTTGTGTCAACACAGCAATAGCAAGTAACTAACATAGTTAGAAACAAAGCCAGAGCTTTCTCCAAGGCAGAAGCCACAGCAGGCCTCTCCTGGATGCCCAGGAGACTCAGCAGTAATAGTCACTCTGTTAGTGGCTTAGGGCATTTCTAGCTCTCAGCCTACGAGGGATCAAATGGACTCGGGAAGGTGAGATGGGATGTAAAGTGAACTGGGTAAACTGACAGTATGCACTAAAGAAACAAAACTTACACCAACAATAATACAAGGAATGCACTGTTTAAAATACTTTCCACCTATCACATCTGCAAAGATTAAAGAAGTACACAATGTCAAACCCTAGACTGGCAGTGGTGACGAGGGTTTTTGCATGTATGTTGTTGGGAGCATAAATTTGCAGTCATTTTTAAGTAAAATAGTTGATAGAATACATCAAATTTAAAGCCACATAAATTTTGAGGCAAGATTCCATCCTAGAAACATAATTTTGATGAGGGTATTGGAAGAATAATGAAGTTTTTTTTTTTTAATTTGTTTTTAAGTTTGTACCTTTAAAAGTCTTCCTGGTTACCTCAAATGAAATAGATTCTAAAAATCTGTGGACATTCATAGTGTCGAAGGCCATGTAGTCAAAAGCATATTTGCCTGCAGAACCTCAGGTCTTCCTGTCTCTCACTGTCTGCCAGGGGCTGTCGAAGCCACTTCAGTTCTACCCAAAGCCCTCAGTCAGTGAGCATCCCACACGACAAAAACAAAGGCCCAAGTGGAAGTTCAATCGTATTTATTTTTTTTATAGAGAATTGAGAAGTAAAACCTGTACCAAACTCTAGATAAAATGGCTTGATCTGATGAATTTGTTTGCACAGTTCCTGTATGTAGAACATACTGGATTATAAATCAACAATACAGGTCCCATTTGGTAAATCGTAGAAGTAAAAATAAAAAAAAATTAAGTTAAAGTATTAGCACATTGTATAATACAGTGTCAGGGAAGGGGTCTCCGTCAATCACCATTTTATATTAACCGTTTTCCTTTCTGAATGGCTTGTTTTGTTTCACGAAAGTTGTACTTTCAGAAGTTACTTCTGATTACATCACAAAACGCAGTACTCCGTGACATGTCCGTCACTTCACATCACCTTCTGCAGATTCCGTTCTGCTGAGCAGTGCCCAGGAGGCTAAGGCTTACTCTGTTTTATGTGCTTCTCACACACTGAGAAATCATTGAAAGAAATACATTTTCTATCCTAGATACTACTGTGAAACATGGCCTAAATATCACCTACTGTTAACAAATGACAGGATGTTTAGCTATTTAAATGCTTCAGTAAAGTGTATCTTATCAAGAAAAACGTGTTTTGAATCCAACTTTAAAAAATGTCTCTATTCTATGACAAAATTTGGAGATGACATGGTAAAATTTATTGATTTAGGACATAGAAGACTAGATAGTCTGAGAATTGGCGATACAGTATATGAATAGCACCTTATTATGAATTCATAGAAAGTATTAATACTTATAATAATGTTGAAGAACCACTGAGAGACTGCTCTGAGGGCTGGGGATGACGCTCCACTGGGGAGTACTCGCCCAACACACATGAAGTCTTGGGTTCACTCAGAACTAGAAACAAAAGTCTGATTTCTAGCTTTAGTCTTCTGTAACAAAGCACATTTTATGTTCTTAAAAACAACAATTATGATATCTGGCTTTATCTATTAGTAAACAGTCAAGGGCCATATTTCATTCTAGAAAAATACTATATTAATTTAAAAGGTTTAAACTAATTTACTAAGAAAATTATTCTAGTATTTCATAATGCCACAAGCTTACTAGAAAATTGCTTCTAAAACTTGGTAACAGAAATCATTTATGATTTAACTAAATTTTTAAAAAAGAATCTCTTTTGTTTTTTACACTTAATAACCTGAAATGCATCTAGAAAAATATTTTTAAATACAGTAACATTGTCGAGTTTTGTTAGGTCCCTTGTGTTTTGGCTTGTTTTTGGTTTTCCTCAGAAAGAATGTACAACTCTTTTTTTTTTTTTTGCAACTTCTGCTAACAAAAGAGGAAACAAAAGAGTGCTCCCTTTCAACCTAGTAGCAACATAAATACCTACGTGCTTCTCTGGGAGTGCTCAGAGAGAGCAAGGAATTACCTGGACATAAATTGGGGTTCCTTCAGAAAAAGAAAAATCACTTTAAGAGTGCCAGAAGCCACAGTAGTCCATGCTCTTGTCTGTGAGACCCTTGGCAATACATAGACAATGTCACATCCCCACCCCTTCCTCCTCTGCCCTTCCCTGGTAAAGTGCACCCTAACCCTCTTCTCTCTAACAGCACACAGGCATCGAGAGAAAATTGTTGCTTTGCTCTTTGGGGCACTCTCACACAGTCTTGCTTGCCTTGTTTTTGAGGGGTTCTGACATGTCTGCTTCATCAACTGGCCTTTCTGCCATGTTCCCCAGCTATGCTACTTTGCCTCTGACCTTTCAACTTGCCTCTTCCCACCAAGATCAAATGTACTCTGTGCATTTATATTCCAATGGATCAAAAGGGATCTTACTGAAGATCCTCAACAAAGAAACCTTCATGCTCACAGCAACTGAAAGCTTCCTTACAGATTCTTGATGTCTTTCAAAAAATAAAAAAGAGATTAAATTCATAGATTATAAATAATGTCAGTTCAAAATACTAAACAGCTAAGGACTTCATTGCAAGTGCAGGCAGACTGCCTGCCAGATGGACATGAAACTCTCAGTCCTTAAAAAGCTAACAAAATAAGGAATATGTTGGTTACATGAGAGGTATTGAGTACATACCTTAGATTTTTTTTCTTACCAACTTAGCAAAAGGATTAGGATAGTACAGGAATCAATTTAACTGAATTCAGAAATACAAATCTACATCACATGCCCTGACAAGGGCCTTTCTGTGTATGTTAATCAGACATCTGCTTCATTCTTCAAACAGTTTCATAGACAGGATTATTTTTAAACACTTGAAATCTGGAAAGCAGAACTAATAAGGCCTCAGAATACAAAATGCAGCATACGAAACTCAAGGGTCATCAGGCTGCGGCTAACGTTGGCCTGATGTTTTCAGAACAGGTTCAAAACACAAAAACATAGTTGCCTCTGATTTATCAAAAACATTTGGCTACCCTTTGTAATAGCTACAAAATTATTATTTTGTATATATAAAAACAAACATCAAATTCTAAGCTGCATTTTGAAAACAAAATCCAAGTTGCAATAAAAAATAGTTCTGTTCTGTAATCATTGATACTGGAACCAAACTGGTCTCTTTCACATGATCTGTCTGATGCAAGAATTGTGACAGATGTTCAGTTACCCTCCTGCTCACAGGACTAAGCTGCTATGCAGGAAAATGATGAAAGGTGATAACACAGAATAAGAGAAGCCATCAGAGCCAGCATGGATTCCAAACTACACTGTATCTTCTACAGGAGAAAATTACTATCCATACAATGATTTTTTTAAAAAAGATCAAGTTAAATAAGTTTTAAAGCATTTGTTACTACTGTTATCAGTACAGTTTTTGAAACTGTAAATCAGGTCGTTGTGTACACTTCCTGGACCAAGCTGCCTATCAGAATTCACTGCCTGAGGTCAGCTTTTTATGGCTTAGAACCAATTGATAAATGAATTTAAGCTAACTGCAATAAAGCTCGGCCATAGGGCAGCGGGCATTTTCTAAAAAGTTATTCTGCACAATCAATCCTGCTTTTTATCTGCCACAGAAATGCAGGCTTGCAGAAAATGAAAAGAGAATATTTATTTCTGTGTCTTCCTGCAAATCACAACCAGGCAATGATTAAGTGGCCACATGGACAAGGAGTGTGAGTATGAAGGCAGAAGGCCGGCAGCTGCAGGCCCGCTCCGCTCCATGGCTTGGTCCGCAAGGCCCAGGACACGTTAGCAAACAGCTGCTTCATGTTATAACAGTAGTGATTACAGCCAGGTTAGAAAGGGCTCGCTTTTGTTCAGAGCAGACTCTACATCATTGAAGAGGGGGATCAGATCTTCAGACTCCAAAGTCCCGAGGTCAACATTTGTTCCTGGAAGGCAGTCCAGGAAATCAGGGAAGCGGGTCTGCTGAGGATTGACGGTCATGGGTGTCTGACCAGAATTTTCACCTGTAATAGAATTAAGGGTTACTGGGTTATTTCCTCCTTGTAAGGATTTGTGTTTTTTTTCTTTTTTAATTTTGTTGTTGTTCAAGGCAGGGTCTCACTATGTACCTCTGACTGTCCCAGAACTCACTATGTAGACCACTGGCCTCAAACTCATAGAGATCCACCTGCCTCTGCCTCCTGAGCACTACAATTAAAGGTATGTGCCACAAAGTTCAATTAAATTTTTTTATGATTATTTTGGCCATAAAAGGTTACATCCATGCAACATATGTGTACCTGGTACCCACAGACCAGAGTGTGTTAAGTACCCACAGTAACAGACAGTTGTGAGCTATCATGTAGGCAGTGGGACTTGAGCTGGGGTCCTCTGGAAGAGCAGCTGATGCTCTTAACCACTGAGTCATCTTGCCAGCCTTTTCTTTTAAGTTCTTGAGAAGGGCACAGATAGTTCAAGTGTTAACATATTTACATTTCACATATGCAGACAGACATCACATTAGTGACCCATTCCTATTTTGGAAGTGTTTATCCCAATAAGACTAGAGTTCTGCAGAACACAATTTAAAAAAAAAAAAAGCTAGAAAGTTAAGCAAGCACATAGAATTAGTGTCTGCCATATCCAAGGCTGTGTCATCTATCTAACAAAGTTATCATTACAGGGGCTAGAGACATGGCTCAGCAGTTAAAAGCATTTACAACTCTTCAAAAGGACCTAGGTTCCGTTACCCAGCACCTACGTATTGGTGCACAAACACCTGTAACTCCAGCTTCAGAAAATCTGATGCCCCCTGGCCTCCAGACCCCTGCATACATGTAGGACACATAAACAACTCACACAGGCACACACGCACAAAACTAAAGATAAATAAAATGCTTTAAAACTTCAAAATGTACAATCTTCTAATTCTTGAGATTGCATACTTTAGCCAAAAAAGTCTTCTTTTAAAAGAATTCTTCCTATTCTTCCTCACCAGAAATGACCGCAAGAGTAGCCAAGTCACGCTTTTTCATCAAGCTTAACAATCTTAAGGTGTTTCTTTTTGCAGTGACTCTACAATGTCATTGTAGTCTTTTTTCTTTTCTTTTTCTTTTTAATTATCTTTGTAGATTTAACTACTTGAGTGGTTACTTAAGCTACTTAAGGAAAAAAAAAAAGGCAACTCTTCCAGAGGTGAGATTTTCATGGAACATTCTGGAAGGATGACTGACTTCCCAGACTTATGTTAATACACCTTTGTTCCATCTTCATCCAAGTCTAGATACGTGTGCTTGTTGCAAAGGGAGAGGGTTCTTAGACAGCTTGCTCAAGGGGAAGTGGTCAATGTGGCTGGCAGATTCAACAATCTTCTAGCCACTAGTGAGCTCTGCCTGCCCTCAGCTAATTACTAAATATTCCATGTCTCTCTTTAACAGTTTATGTCCACTTCCTACAAACACCTCACAGAGGTTACTCTGAACTCAATGAGTTCACAGTCACTTAACCCAGTTAATAGGAACCACAGTGTTTATCAAATCTATTTCATCAACAGACTTCTTCAGCGGCAGGGCAGACATGAGAACACTCATTTCACTGGTGAGAAGGGGAAGCTCACAGGAGTTCCATAGAGGACAAGACACCATTGAACTGTGTATTATTACATCTTCACAACCACTCCCTACTTACCTACTTAACATTATTTTAGAAACCTATAGGAAAGAATCTATCTTTTTAAGATCCCCTGAACTACCCACCCTCTCCCCTTACTTCTCTTTTTACCCTCCCTAGATTCCCAGTGTTTAAAAGATGAAAGAAAAGAAATGAAGATGCCACCACATAAGGAAGCAAAATGTTGGGGATGGGGTGTGTGAAAAGATGGAGTGCAGAAAAGAGCAGTAATAAATCAAACACAGACCAGTGCAAACCGCACTCACAACCCCTTCTATGCTCTTCACCTACTCCTGTCAGCCTATAAGACCCAGAGATGCTGTTCCTGCATCCAGCCTGTACTTTCGCAAGGCTCAACTGTAAACACAGCTAGGAGTCTGGCATTCAGACTCAACATTTTAGACTCATAGCAGTACACAGCAGTTGGACATGCACAGGGTATGCTAAGCTTCAGGCACTGCAAACCAATGATTCGGGAGGCAATCTTTGATTTTTGTCATAGAACTACTGCAAGTGTATGAGCGTTTTGCATGCATAAATCTTAGTATAACTCCTGAATGTCTGGTGCCTACAAAGGTTAGAAGACGGTTCTAGAACTGGAGTTACGGAGAGTTGTAAGTCACATGTTGATGCTGTGCACTGAACCTGGGTCTCCCGGGAAAGCATCAAGTACTGAAGCATCTCTCCAGCACAACAACTGCTTTTCTGTCATGAATAATGATAGAAGAAATGCTTGCAGAAGTATTTACAAAAAAAAAAAAAAAAAAAAAGAAGTATTTACAAAGGGCATATACTCAAGCTGTCACTTATCTCTGGCTTGGCTAGCAGGACCAAGAAGAACTCTATGTAAGCTGAGCATGGTGATCCATGCCTTTCATTGCTGTCAGTGCTGTGCTCAGGAGGCAGAGGCAGGGGGGTTCTTGACATTCAAGCTCAACCTGGTCTACATACCAAGTTCCAGCCAGAGGTACAAAAAGAGACTCTGTCTCAAAATTAAAAGTAAGA